AAATGAATTACAGTAGATGGGGTAGAGAGAGAAGATGGGAGGGGAGGGGAGAGGAGGGGGGATAGTAGAGGATAGGAAGGGCAGCAGAATATAACAGACACTAGTATGGCATTATGTAAAAACGTGGATGTGTAACCGATGTGATTCTGCAATCTGTAATTGGGGTAAAAATGGGAGTTCATAACCCACTTGAATCAAATGTATAAAATAGATATGTCAAGAGCTTTGTAATGTTTTGAACAACTAATAATAAAAATTTTTTAAAAAATAATTTTAAATGGGAAATCATTTCTCTTAAGAATTTTGAAGACAGTGCTCCATTGTTTTCTACATTCTGTGTTGCTGTTGATAAATCAGAAGCCATTCTCCTACCCAGGTTTACCCAGCTTTTTTTCTCTCTGTTTTTAGGACTTTATTCTCAGGAGCATGAAATCTTGGAGATGAACTTGGGAGCGGGTGGTTTTCTTTCATTGTGCCAGAGAGTCAATGGGCCCATTTAGTCTACAAACTCATACCTGTAAATCCTAAGAAATTTTCTTTTTTTTCTTTAGTAATTCCCTCTCCTCCGATTTGTTCTCTTTAATCCCTATTTTTTCTTAATTAGACTTCTCAGTTGTGAAGTTTCTCATATTTTTGTCTCCTACTTTTTCTTTTTTCTTATTACTTTCTTGAATATAAATTTATCATCTTCCAACTCCTCCCTTGATTTTTTTATTATTTATACTGTTTGACAGTATTTTTGCATATTTTGTTTGTTTTAGTCTCCTCTGCTGCTTCATGAATCTTTCTGATGTAATTTCTACAGGTGTAGGTGTTTTGATTTTCTTTTAAAGTTTCTTCTGCCAGTGCCTGCTACCTTTGAGTACCTTTCTATCCATTTTCATTTTGGTTGACTAGCTTTAATGTGAGATTTCTTCATAGTCTGACCTTGGCTGATTGTTTTGTTTTTTTCTCCAACATAAAATAAACCTAAGACATGAATGACTGTCAGGGGCGTCAAGGGGTGGGCTGCCCCACAGAGTGAAACACCGCACTTTCTCAGTAGGAGACTCTTGTCATTTTCTTGCAGACAGCTGGCTTTCCCAGGGAGGAACATTATGACATTCTGCCCGGAAGGGATTAGCCTGAATTTCAGCAATGGGGAGACCAGTGGGGATGGAGACTGCAGGGATCTCACTGTTCATGATGTGGGTTTTCCGTTCTCTCTCCTGTCCCACCACATCTTCCTAGAGCTTCTGGCCTCAATGATGCCCAGTACCCCAAGGCCAGACTCCCTTTGGTCAAGCCTCCCCAGGGAGTATGTCCAGTCTTCGCCTGGGTCCTGGGTGGGGAGAGGCGAGATGCTGCTGCACAGGGCTACAGAAGGTGCACCTGCCACCATCCCTAAGAGTTCTGCCCCACCCCACCCCTACCTCCATCAGCTCTCCCTGGGGACCTGCAGGGCAGCTCTCAGCTTCCCTCTCAGCTTGCACACCCGTCCCTGCAAGCCAGCCTCCATGTCCACTGTGCTGTTGTCTTCGTCACTTCCTTTCAGCTTCCCAGAGTCTGCTGCTGCAATCTCTTCTCTTTTCCCTCGTGGTTTATTCCACTTTCTCTGTGCTTACATTCACGTGATGATCAGTGGGAGCAGGCTTGGGAGTCTGCTTAGAGAAAAGAAGTCTTTCATAAACTTTCAAAATATGACTTTCTCCTCATACATTTTAAGCAATGGGAAATACACAGCACCACTTCTGAGGTATTCAGGCACATAAAGAAAATCTGAATCTGAGCAAGCAAGTCTTTTAGATGTAACCACTAGTTTTCAGGAGATGTGGGGACAGAGGCAGGTTAGATGACAGCACAGGAAACATCGTGTTGGAACTGGCTAGCGATATTTGACAAATAAATTTTTCAAGAATCTTGTGAGCCATTATTAAACACGTTGTTAAGTGAATATATATTTACTTATGTACTTAATAAATATTTATAAACTTACAATCAAATAAATTGATTTCAAAATCAAAGATAACAAACACCCTAATGCACCACTTCTTAATTGTTAAAGAAGGCTGGCTCCAGAATCCTGTGGTGTCACAGAAAAATTAAGCAGCAAACTCGCAGCCCAGGTGCTGAGCTCACGGGTGGCAAGGCAGCTTCATCTCCAACAGAGATCCTGGGTCTGCTGCCCAGTTGTGGGCAGAAGGAACTTTCCCAAGTCAGCAAGTCAGTGTAGGCCTCACCATGAAGACCCCGAGGACACTGTCACACCCTTCACACTGGGCCTCCTCATCTGCCCAGCTCTGAATAACCTCCATCCTAACTGGCCCCATGACCTGAACCTTGAGTAATTCACAATGTCAGCATCCTTCCAGGAGACCAAGCTCTCCTTTTAATGTGTTTCAATATTGTATTTCTTCAGTACCAGCTTCTTTAAGAAAACTGTTTATATTCTGTCCATAGGCCAAGGTCTAATAAAATGAAAATAATTAAGAAAGTCCATATAAAATGCTGGCTTAACACAGTACCTCAAATGTAAAGAAAATTGTATACCATTTTTTATTTCTGACATAACTATATTTGTTTGGTACCGAGAATTGAAACTTAAACACTGAGCCCCGTCGCCAGCCATTTATTTATTTATTTATGATTTTGAGACAGGGTCTTACTAAGTTGCTTAGGGCTTGTAAGTTGCTGAGGCTGGCTTTGAACTTGTGATCCTCCTGCCTCAGTCTCCTGAGTTGCTAGGATTAAAGGCGTGTATCACCACCACTTGATATATTATTATTTTTTATTTGTTCTAGTTATACATGACAGTAGAATGCATTTTGACACATTATACACAAATGGAGCATGACTTCTTATTCCTTTGGCTGTACATGGTGCTGAGTCACATCAGTTGTGTAATCATACATGTATGTAAGGTAATAATGTCTATCTCAATTCTACTGTCCTTCCCATTCCCACTGCTCCACCCCTCCCCTCACTCCCCTGTGGACAATCCAAAGTTCCTCCATTCTTCCCTACCCCCACCCCACTATGGATCAGTATCCATTTATCAGAGAATACATTTGGACTTTGGTTTTTGTGGATTGACTTATTTCACTTAGCATGATGTTCTCCGGCTCCATCCATTTACCTGCAAATACCATAACTGTATTCTTCTTTAAGGCTGAATAATATTCCAGTGTGTGTGTGTGTGTGTGTGTGTGTGTGTGTGTGTGTGTGTGTCTCACATTCTTTTTGTTATATGACAACAGAATGTATTTTAAAATTTTTATTTTAATTTCAAATTGTCTTTATCCATTCATTTGTTGAAG